TTAACCATTAGCAAATAACCGTACGCATAAGGTTGCCAACTGTTTCGTATAATACGGAATCGTCCCGTATTTAAGTAATCAAAGAAGCGTTCCGTATTAAAGGCATACGGAACGCAGTTTGTCCCGTATTATTGATCATAAACCCAACATCCAGCAAGGCAAGAAAACATGAAATCTACCTGAGGGAATACCTCTTTCACTATTGGAAGTTAATGCTGTTAAATAGAGAAAAAATTTACACAATTTTAACATTTTAGCTTATAGCGATCCTTAAAGGGGTCATATGATGTTGCTAAAAAGATTATGCATTGCATCATGCCGCATAAACATAAAACCATGTCTGCATTTGCGATCGGAGAAACGGCAAACAAAAAGTGCTACTCTACACTGCTCAAAACTCGCATTTGAATCATCAGTGGAAAATCCTTTAAATATGCAAATGTACTTACAGTCTGTGAGTCAGAACAGCCGGCATTGTAGTCTACACTCCCAGGATCAAGAAACAGTCCTCCATAAAATGTGGGTTGAACCCATGTGCAGTTTTATTCAAAGTGATTCAAACATCCAAACATAATCCAAACAATAAACGAAGACTTGACTAGATTTGACGAGGCATGAACAGACTTAACTCACTGACAGCAGATTACAACTTCAATACACGACCAAGAACAATGGGAACATGAGGGCTATTTGTACCAAACAAGAAGGGTCACATGACACAAACCAACCAATGGTCAAACAGAACTGAGAACCACATGACAAGACCTTAAACCAATAAGCACAAGACACATGACTAAAACAACCAATCAGAACATAATACACAGACAAGAGAATCACATGACAGAACATGACTGAGGCCTAACTACAAAATAAAAGACATGAAAACAATGAACAAGAAACAAAACCCAAACACCACATTACATTTCTCCCCCTCTAAGGGCGGCTCCAGATGCCCAAACAAAATACAAAAAGTCCAGGAGGGTGGTGGAGTGGAGGCGGAACTGGGGGAGGGACAGAGGGCCAGGCCCGTGAAGAGGAACAGGACCTGGAGTGTGGAGCAATGGCGGGCCTGGAGCTAGGAGCAGTGGTGGACCAGGATCATGGGGCAATGACAGACAATGGAGCAGAGGGGGACCTGAGCCGTGAAGCAGTGGCAGACTGTGGAACACTGAAGGACCTGGGCCATGGATCAGATCCATAGGAGCATGGAGCCATGGCGGAGCCGGCAGAGTGGGGAGCCATGGCGGTGCAGGCAGAGCAGGGAGCCATGGCGGAGCAGAGACATGGACAGACCACTTGACTCTGTCGAGCAGCCATGGCGGAGCAGGCAGATCGGGCAGCCATGGCGGTGCAGGCAGAGTGGGGAGCCATGGCGGTGCAGGCAGAGCAGGGAGCCATGGCGGAGCAGAGACATGGACAGACCACTTGACTCTGACAGAGCAGGCAGAGAATTCTTGAACGGCCTCCTTGGCCATGACAGGACAGTCTGTGAGTTTGTGAATGGCCTCCATGGCCGTGACAGGACAGACAGTAAGTTCATGAACGGCCTCCATGGCCGTGACAGGACAGACAGTGAGTT